TTTTTTATTTTAATCAATTGTTTATGTTGTGTTGAAATTATGATGGAGTAGCTGTGCGAAATCGGCTAGTGCTTCTTTCAATTAGTATGGCCTATATAAATATAGCAGAATGGACGCCCGACCAAGTTACAGATTGGATCCGAGGTAAATCTATGGCTCACTTAACAGGTCAAGGAAAAGTGCAGCAGCAGCAACAGCAGCAGCACCAACAACAACAACAGCAAGAGCAACAACAGCTACATTCCTTTCACATCAAAATTGCAATTGAAATAATTTTACTAATGGATTTGCCTCTGTTACTTGTTGCATAGGTCTCGACGAGTCCATGGAAGCGTATTTATACGAATTTTCAAAACACGAAATCGGAGGTCGAGCACTGCTCAATATACGGCCATATGAATTGGAAAATTTGGGCATGAAGGCTATCGGTCGACAGGAAATCGTCCTTGAAGCCGTTGAGAATCTGCGTAACTTTGTAAGTTTGTTTAGTTCATTCCAGCGGCAATTAGAGGATATTTCATTGGAATAGTTTATATGGAGTGAAAAATATTATGATGCAAAATCTGAAGAAAGTTGATGCATTAGTGTTAATTAAACGGAACCTAGGTCACGGTTTAAAGAATCCAACAATTGTCGCTGGACTTGTGTCCTTGATTAGATTTTCTGAAGTACTAAATGAGCTTTCTCTTATTCAGCATTATCACTTGAAGAATGATAATCTACAGTTTATGGCATTGCATGTGGGCACTGCGGCCCGCAATTTACATCGGGAATTGGCCAAAAATCATGCGGATAGCACAAACATCGACACGCGCACACTGCATGATATTACGCGTACGATTGCGACTCTGAAGCCGCTGATTGGGAATTTGGAGCGATCGCCGTTTCGCAATCAGGACATGTATCGGGAGTACTGTGGCAATGTGTTGCGCTGTGGCCTGGAGTTGGCCACGATAGCGCACAGGGATCGTTTCGCGGAGCGTCCAGTTGCTCAAATCAAAGCGACCGCAGAGCGTTTGGAACGTCTGGCTAACTTCATAATCCAGGATATTTCGGATCCGATGGTGCTGCAGCCGGCGTCTCTCAATCTGGTGACACTGAAGAAACGTGAATCGGATCTGGGCTTTAACATCGAGTCGAGCTACAATGGCATTCACCGCGTCACAGATATCAAATACAATTCACCCGCCCACAACTCGGGCAAGATCGAGGATGGCGACGAAATCGTCCAAATCAACTACCAGACAGTCGTCGGGTGGCAGCACAAGACTGTGCTGCATCATCTGTGCGAAGCGCTGCCCGATGTGGTACTCACTGTGAAGAAACGGCCAAAGCACACCAAGATGTATGGTCAGATTTATATGCAGCCATATCGGCTGCCCAGCAAGAAACGCAACATGGCCAGCCGATGGGCCGACAATTTGCCCAGTCCGAGTCCACGCGCCGCATTCTTAACCCTTGAGTCAGCTCACAAGACGCCGCGAAGTGATGACGGCCAGGGCGTCAAGGTGAAGGAACTTGTGAAGGAGCAGGTGCAGGCGCATGCTGCTTCCGACTCGGACTCCAGTTGCAGTGATATACCCACACCCACRGATCCAAAGTCTGCCAGTCGYGAGATGCGTTTGTACTATCCCAAGCCACGGGCGCTACTGCAGCGRCGCAACACAATTTGTGGKGACGAATTCCTTAGCCTGAARCATCCACATTTGGTGATACCCTCATGGCATGAACGCAAGCCAGGTAGCAGCGGCGGTGGCGGTGGTGCTATCTGTGATCCTGGCTCGCCCAGCATTCGAGACAAGTCCATCTCCTTCGGCTATGGCCTCGAGATAGCGCCCCGGCCCACCACCTGCATAGGTCTGGCAGCCAGCGAGAGCGCCGACACGGACAAGCGTCTGTTCAACGAGGCGCGCAAATTGAAGCAGCTGACCGAGGCGGGCCTGGCGTCCCAGCAGCAGCTGCAAATKCTGGACCGCTACAAGCCCGGTGTCAGCAAAGTGGTGCGCTTCGATGCCAACATGAAGGTGGAGGATTATGTGGTTAAGAACGAGAAGTTTACGTGCAATGTGGAAAATACAATACTGGAAACCTTTGAGCCAATACCCTTCGCCGACGAAGGGGACGAGGATGCGTTAGAGACGCTGCGTAGCTGTGCCAACGAAACCAGCGCCGAACTAATCCAAGCCATGGAATTGGCCACGCGCGAAACGCCGCCGCTGGCGGAGGCCATCAACACACCGCTCATYCAACAGCAGCAGCAGCAGCAGAATCGACGTGGCCGCCTGGACAAAAGCCATAGTACACCGGCCTATGACAATTCGGGCGAGGAGGAGTCCGATACACCGCCGCCGGCTATTGAGCCACGCAAAGAGTTTTTACAAGTAACGCCGCCAGCGCCGCCGCCACGTCCGCGCAAGCCACACGAACTCACACCCGTTGTGCCACCACCGCCGCCAAAGCCGGCGAGCATGCAGCAAGCAAGCACTGCTACTGCAAGCACTGCACTCATGGCAACCACTCCAAGCACCGYAACCACTGCAGCGGCTGCAGCAATGGCAGCAGCCACAACGGCTGCCACAATAGCAACCACAATAACCACTGCTAAGGAGCAGGAGATCAGTGAGCTGCTG